ATGTATGTAAATGCCATGCCCACTATGAATTTATCTTTCAATAGTGTTTACACTTAAATGGCTCTACAAGTGCTGTCACCAAGGAGTTAACTCTTTGGATACAGGCACTTCACTGACTGCAAGTGACCCAAAATTTGGGCATTAGGCTTACTTGAGTGGCCACTCTCATAGGTGGCTTGTAGGCCAGCTGCACAAGAACACTCATAGGCAGTGTCAAGGTTCCTTGCCTCCCTTTTGTAATATTGTTATCTCTTTTTCTTTCTGCATAAGTGTTTTTTGCTTTTTTGCCATTTTCCAATATCATGATTGTCACTTGATATGCTGTATCCAGATGGTAATAGACTGTTTTCCTTACACAGACACCATATCATTTCTCTGTGTAGTATATAACTCAGTAAAAAAAAAATCAAATTTTCTGTAATACAACCTGTGCCACCAGTCACACCTGGTAGGATTGGGATCATGAGAAAGGAAAAGTGTCTTCCCTGGAGAAGGTGCTTTCCCAGTCATGGCTCATGGATTGTATATTCCATGCTCATTTACTAATAGGAGTAATGTAAGAGCTCTTTCGTAATACCCACTGAATCTTACCACCCTCCAAGATGGTGGTAATTTATTAGGGCAAGTCATTCCATCATCCCGGCCTTCTACCAAAATTCTCATGACAGCAAATTTCCATCACCTCGGCTCTCATCCAAATTTTTCCATGACGTTGTGTTCACAACACTCACCCCTCAAGCCAATTTTTTCATGACATCATGGCCATGTCATTCAGATTGTAGGAGTTAATTACTAGTCTCCCCTGTTTTCCGAAGGAAGGCAACGGGAAACCACTTCTGTACACTCCCTTGTACAACCATAAAATTAAACATGCTCACCAACTTCAGGCTCTGATACGGCACAGAAAGAAAGATCTCCCCTGTTTACCATTCTCCATAGATTTCTGGTAAAATATATATATTATATATATATAATTCTTTTTTATTATATTGCCATTAGTACTGTTGATGACAATAAAATAATAATAATAATAAAATAATAATAATAATAAAATAAAATAATAATAATAATAATAATAATAATAATAATAATAGTAATAACAGCACTGACGTTAATAGAAAAAAAACTCTATAACTCAAGGAAAGAGGAAATCAGGTGAGGTCATTCAGGCCTACTGACTCGTTGATGACTGTGCACTTGTGGAACCATCTGTGCATAAGTAAATCTCACAAAACAAAACTACAGTGGACATTACACGTTCTCTGCACCAATGGGTTAAGATATAAAGAAGCAAATTTTCTTTCAAATATGTATTTTTCCAAGACAGACTACCTGCCTTCTTGAGTTGTAACTGAAACACAAATATTTAAAATACAGTTTCTTTACATCATGGGTTTCAATTGATGACAGATTTGCATTTCTCAGGCTGACCATGTTCCACCACTATTTCATTTCAGTAATATTTCCCTTTTCACTATTTACCTACAGTCATATTTTCCTTTTCTCTATTTACCTACAGTCATATTTCCCTTTTCTCTATTTACCTACAGTCATATTTCCCTTTTCTCTATTATTCATCAACCTATAAAATACGCAATCAGAACAATCCAAGACTGATATGGAAGGCAAACAGTTTATGTCTAATTCAGCTACACTTCTCATTCATTAGTCCTATCTGCTGAAGTTATCTGCACTAATTCTGTTGAACCCTCAGTCATTTCATAAATTAGTAGAGATGTACAAAAAATTTAAAGCTTCTGTTTAGTATTCATAACTGAATTCATAGGATTTTTATCAGCAGAAAGTCTGTTATAACAAGCTGAGGAATCATATTACAAGACAAACAGCATGTGAACACCATACTTACAAGTGAAGTGAGAAGTAACAATGATAGGGAAAGGATTAATCATTCACAGAGAACAAATAATTAAACATCTTGACAACAGAATTTTCTAGTCAATTCTTTTTCTTAAGTAGTGTCAGGATGGTTACAGGATGTATGTAAGTTAAAAAGAATGCTATAGAATTAAATTTTCCAACTATGTAATATATAACTGACTACAGACCTGACAGTTGTAAATACATTTTAAATGATAAAAATATAGTTAAATCCCCATATTTCATTAACTATCAACCAGTCACCCCTAAAGTCAATAGTGTATTTTTGTACTGTACCTCTCCTCCTGAAGCATGTCGTTGACGTGTCCTTTCACGTACTTTAAATGCTGCTATTGCTTCATCAATAAATGATGGAGGCACCTTGGAGTGAGACACTTTAACCCTACCCACAAACAGCACCTGTATGAACAAATTTTATTTAACAGAAATGGTTATATAAATTAGACTATTTCATGTTAGATCAACTTAAAACTAATTAATAAGATCTGCATTATTGTTAAATTAAATTACTTTGTATTTATATCATCAAAATGTGTAATATAAATAAAAGATACTTAGATATTCATTATTATATTTCCACATATATAACATACCTCAAAGA